ATCCGGGCCTGGTGCAGAGTGCATAGGCATACTGTTTATGGCTTCTTCAAAATCTAGTGGGGATAGGGCGACATCTGATATATGATTTGATGTTGGTATCATATCCATGAAAAATTCATTTGGGTTATCAATCTTTAGTGCGTTTAATGGCTCGCTGAAAACAGAGTTGTACTGCTTCCTCTATAACTCGCTCATTTCTTTGTTGTCATTGGTGAAAGTTCCATCTCCGTTTCGCAGGGGCCCGATACTAGATGTAGTTTTTTATCTTGATTTTGCATACGCGAAAAAATATTTCAGATTTCTCTCTATTTCACTGATGGCCTTTGCTCTCTTTGCCTCTCCTGGGTTTTGTATGATTCTTGTAACTTGAGTTCAATTGTTTCTATTTCTCTACCTAACCTTCTTCGCCGTTCTTGAGATAGGGTGCGACTCTCAAGTTGTTCCGCGATTTGTTTTCTTCGCCTATATAGGGAACAACATTCCCGTTCCAATCTGCATCTCTTTCTCTTTTTTCTTAGGGGTATGCGGTTTGAACATATTTCTAGTGCTACTGAGCTTATTTTTTCCAGGCACTGGTTCAGGTTTGCATTTTCTAGCTGTTCTTCCCAGTTTATTTCTGTGAAGTCCTGGTTTATTTGCTCCCAGTTTATCTGTTTATTATTGAAGTTGAATTTGCTGAAATCTCCTCCACTGGGAATCTGGACTGGTTTTGAAGGACCATTCCCCATGGTTGTCAGAACTTCAATTAAGTTGTGATCTGAGTAACAGGTATTTGTAATCATTATGTTCCCGATCAATTCATCATTATTAGTGAAAATGAGGTCCAGCGTGTTCTTCTTCCTAGTTGGTTCTACTATTTGCTGGTTTAAGGCAAACCCATCGCACATCCGTAGCAGGTCATTTGCATGTGCCTGTTCATTTAGGCTACTTCCTGGTATTCTTTCTGATATTACTGTATTAGCCAGGTGCTTCCATTTCAGGTGCCGTAGGTTGAAGTCCCCAAGCAGGATGATGTTCGGAGCTAGATTTGTGAGGTTTTCCAAGCAGTGTTCTATTTTCATTAGTTGGTCTTTAAACTGCTGAGGGTTTGCCTCCGGTGACTTATATACAAGGACAATAACTATATTTACGATCTCTATTTTGACTATCAGCACTTCCACCATATCATTTGAGGTGTTTAGCAGCTCAGTACAGATGAGTGTTTCTTTGATGTAGAGACTGACCCCACCCTGAAGCCGGTGTTTCCTATCACATCTGAAAAGACTGTACTCCGAGATCCATATTTCACCATCAAGGTAGTCCTTTGTGTGAGTTTCCGTTAGGGCTGCAAACACTGCATTTGCCTCATGAAGGAGACCATCTATAAAGTGAACTTTGTTGGATTTGCATGTTTTTATACCTTGGATGTTGGCAAATATAAATGATGTTATCGTGTTAGTGGAAGTGCTGGATGCTTTACTTGGTGTTAATATCTGAGACTCTGGTAAGGAGTAAGGCTGGTAAGTAAGTAAAGGCTGTGTTTGCGTCCTCTCTAGCATTTGAGCGAGTTGGTGGTAAAGTCTGGTCATTTTTAGCCATTCTTCTCCTCCTCCTCTTGCTAAAAAATGATCCCGGTCGATGGAGTAGTGGCTGTTTTCATAGTGGTAGTCTGTCAGTTTCATTTGCCTGGTACCTATTATATGAAAAGCTGGACATTCAGCATTGAAGCACTCTTTCCTGTCCAAAGAGTTCTTGCAAATTTCTGGGTGAAAGAATTCACAGCTTTTGGTACATTTACATGTATTGAGGAGGTTTCTGCACTTTTTAGGGTGATCGTATTTACATGTTCCATTTGTTCTTCCTGATTCCCCATGCTTACAGGTAGCCCATTTGTAATACCAACAGATTTTGGGGCCTTGTTTTGTTTGTTTCCCTTTGCCAGGGACCGCACTCTGCTGCGGCGTCCCCGACATTGTGCTCTGCTTCAGGGCCTGTGACACCGCGTTCTGCTCCGGCGCCGTTGACACCGCGCTCTGCTCCGGCGCCATTGACACCGCGCTCTGCTCAGGGGTCCCCGACTCCGCGCCCTGCTCAGGCGTCCCCGACTCCGCGCCCTGCTCAGGCGTCCCCGACTCCGCGCCCTGCTCAGGCATCACCGACTCCGCGTCCTGCTCAGGCCTCCCCGACTCCGCGCCCTGCTCAGGCGCCGCTGCCACCGAGCTCTGTGCCACATCTGGTTGTACCTTGGTGTCATGTACAGTTTGTTTGAAGACATTAGAAATTGCTATGCAGGCATTAATTAGTAATTCTCTGTTTTCGGCGGGAGTTTTATCCAGGATTTCCATCAATTTCAAATAAGTTACATCATCCTTTTTGCAGAGCCAGTACACAGAGTGGTCACTGGGACCATTTCTCCTTGAATTGTTAGTCATGTTGGTACATTTTTTGTGTATGGCTGCTGAACAGAGTTGGCATTGAAAGCTCTGTTGGTAATCTACCTTCACATTGCATTCTATGCACGTTTTTATCAAAGCCATTTTTTGAACACTTCTGTTCAGTGGTGATGGTCTTACAAGGTCTTACAAGGTGGGGTGTTGACCGGTGGGGGGGTTGACCGTGGGTGCTGGCCGTGGGTATTGACCGTGGGTGTTTACCAACTTGAGACAGGCCCGGAGGGGCAGTATGGACAGCCAGTGTTGCTACCACGTGTCGCACTCTTAAATTAATTTGTTTTGTTCACTTGTTAGATTACATTACTTGCAATTTTCCACATCTTACAGCGGAGGCGTCTAGTTTCCGTGTCTGGGCACTAGTTACCTGAGTACGTTACACTATTTAAAAGAATACACACACAGAGGGTACTGGGGTGGGCCTACCTCCAAGTGGCCCTTGTTTACATACACACGACGGACTTATTTTGTGTATAATTTGTTCACTTGATATTAAAATGTTATCTTAATTTTTGCTATAATAGACACAGGTTTTGCATAAAGAGCTTAGCCCTATGGGCACTGATTACTTGATGTTTCAATAGCGAGAGATGTGATTTATTGACGACTTGGCAACTATCGCCTAAGGCCTCCTGGCACCACGAGGGCAGGCGTTGACTACACACGAATTTCACTTATTTTTCCTTGAACACAAACGGTCGGATGGTAATCACTATGATATATTGGTTAATATGTTGAGACACACTTTAAAAGTTATCTGACTGTGTTTAGCTCCTGTATCACTGAAATATCCCTAGATATATATTGTTTTCCGCGGAGCTCGCATAGCGTGGCCCTTCCCCTCTCACGCCCAGAACAACAGCTTAAGCTTCTAACATGAATGAAAATTTTCTGACTGATAGAAAAATGAGGGCAGTAATCAGAGGCAATGTGTCAGACTGGAGAATGTCACAAGTGGAGTACCACAGGGTTCAGTTCTTGCACCAGTGATGTTTATTGTCTACATAAATGATCTACCAGTTGGTATACAGAATTATATGAACATATTTTCTGATGATGCTAAGATAATAGGAAGGATAAGAAACTTGGACGATTGTCATGCCCTTCAAGAAGACCTGGACAAAATAAGTACAGTATATGGAGCACCACTTGGCAAATGGAATATAATGTGAATAAATGCCATGTTATGGAATGTGGAATAAGAGAACATAGACCCTACACAACCTATAAATTATGTGAGAAATCTTTAAAGAATTCTGATAAAGAAAGAGATCTAGGGGTTATCTTGAGGTTATCTTGAGATGATTTCGGGGCTTTTTAGTGTCCCCGCGGCCCGGTCCTCGACCAGGCCTCCACCCCCAGGAAGCAGCCCGTGACAGCTGACTAACACCCAGGTACCCATTTTACTGCTAGGTAACAGGGGCATAGGGTGAAAGAAACTCTGCCCATTGTTTCTTGCCAGCGCCCAGGATCGAACCCGGGACCACAGGATCACAAGTCCAGCGTGCTGTTTGCTCGGCCGACCGGGGGTGGTTCTAGATAGAAAACTATCACCTGAGAACTACATAAAGAACATTGTGCGAGGAGCCTATGCCATGCTTTCTAACTTCAGAATTGCTTTTAAATACATGGATGGCGAAATACTAAAATTGTTCACGACTTTTGTTAGGCCAAAGCTAGAATATGCAGCAGTTGTGTGGTGCCCATATCTTAAGAAGCACAATAACAAACTAGAAAATATGCAAAGACATGCTACTAAGTGGCTCCCAGAACTGAAGGGCAAGAGCTACGAGGAGAGGTTAGAGGCAGTAAATAAGCCAAATTAGAAGACAGAAGAAAAAGAGGTGATATGATCACTACATTCAAAATAGTAACAGGAATTGATAAAATCGATAGGAAGATTTCCCGAGACCTGGGAACTTAAAGAACAAGAGCTCATAGACTTAAATGAACTAAACAAAGATGCCGAAGAAATGTAAGAAAATTCACTTTCGCAGAGTAGTAGATGGTTGGAACAAGTTAGGTGAGAAGGTGGTGGAGGCCAAAACCATCAGTAGTTTCAAAGCGTTACATGACAAAGAGTGCTGGGTAGACGGGACACCACGAGCAGAGCTCTCATCCTGTAACTACACGTAGGTAATTACACTTAGGTAATTACATACCATGGTGTAGTATGGTGTCACCATGGTTAATATTAAATTATTATTAAAAAGTATTAAATTATTATTAACAAATATTAATTATTAAAAAATATTAAATTATTATTATAAATATTAATTATTAAAAAATATTAAATTATTATTAAAAAATATTAAATTATTATTAAAAAATATTAAATTATTATTAAAAAATATTAAATTATTATTATTTAATTTTCAATTATTATTTAATACGAAATTACTGTAGTATTATTTAATATTAATACAATTCAATATTTAACAATTATATTACTAATAACTTTACGTGATTAAATAACATTTTGTACCATTCTGCCAATCTCATTCATTCCCAGAAACTGATATTTAGCTGGCATTTACCTGACGTGTTTGCAACTTGCACTCTTAATCTTACCTGAAAGAGTCCATGATGCTGGATAACGCCACACTGGCCAGACAATAGGGAAAGGAGTGCGTGCTCAGTGTGTAAGAGCATTTTTCCTTGTCTGTCATCTTGTGTTTCATCACATGCTTCTCTCACAGTTAAGATCTTTAACGTGTAAAATTTATCTGTAAAATAATACAAATCTGAAATACAGTACTGTATTTTACATTTATAAAGATTACGTTAACCCAAAACCAATGCTTACCTAATTAACATACCTACCTAATTAACACCCAAATTGCACGCACTACATTGATGCAGTGTCTTATGTACAAGAAAATAATACTGACAAAAATTATGTTTGTTTCTGATCTTGTTAATTACTATCCAAGAATCACAAAAGACCATGAAAACTAGCGTTGAATGAAATGAAACACGATTTTCTGGTCGAGCCAGCCGCCGTATACTTCACCAGTAAAGAAGGGGAACGCTGCAAACAAACAAAAGTACCTCCAGGACCAAAGGAACAGAAACCCCCGCTGACGGAGAAGAGCATGAAGCTCCCTAACCCGACCCCCAGAGGTCAAAGTCAATAAAAACAAGGCTTCCCGAAGCAATCTTGAACTGAAGGGATCACGACAAACCGAGGAAAAGAAAGAAAGTAAAGAGCCTGATCCAAAGACCAAGACGGCTCAGACGGCTCATGAGCAGGCCAAAGATAAAAAAAAAATGCACGAGAGAGATTGAGGAATGAGGCAGAAGTGACACCCACCCCGAATGCAAGCTGCAGCGGCTCCGCCAACGCTACACGATAAGAATCGACAGCATTTGGTGTAAAATGCAGGTCCAGGAAAAGCCAACAGAGAAAGGACAAGAAAACTGTAACCACCACAGACACAACTCTACAAAGTGAAAGGAAATGGCGGAAAGACCACCAAGAAACTTTATACTGTCGCCGAGATGAAGACCACAAGTGGAACACCATCAAAGAACCCACATGATTGCCTTACAAATAGCGATACACCTGCGCCAGAAAAAACAGACATGAAAAGTGGAAGAGTAAGTTGAACCAGAGAGATACCTCACCGGCACGACCTGCTGAAAGAGGCAGAGCCGCGGAAAAACTCCCAGGTCCGGACACCGAGCAACCAGCGCCTGAAACCAAGGCTGGGTTAGCCACCACGGGACCAGAAGAATGACTCTCCCTTGATAGGATTTGAGCCGAGCTAGAACCTGGAGCAACAGCTGGACCCGGGCAAAGAAGTCCCCGTGACATAGTGGTAAAGCACTCGACCCGGCGCTTTGCGAACACTTTGGCCTGGGTTCATATCCTGGTCGGGGAGGATTGACAGGGGTGCAATCCTAAAGTGCAGCCTCTGTTCACCCAGCAGTGAATTGATACTGGTTGTTAAAACGATTTGGCCGGTCGTGTTCCGGGGGAAAATTAGGATTAACTCTTAAACTGCGCAACGCATCATATGATGTGGTGAGTAATTGCCGCAGAACTGTGGACCACATCATATGTGTGGGAGTACCGCGCAAGATTTAAAAGTCCTGCAATTACACTGGGTTCACATCACCTTCCTCAGGGCTCTTGTAAACAGCTGCCATTTTATTTAAAAATTGTGGGCAACATGCTTGGGTGTGAGAGCCTCAGTACTGAATGAGCCACCAAGGCCGGCGCATGCAGCATGAGCTCACAGCACTGCTGTTCAGCTTGTGACCACAGCATTGCCTTAAAAATGGGCCAATATGTATATAACTGGTATTATTTAGTGATGATAGTATTACAGAAAAGCCTAACTGTTATAAAAATAACCAGGATTCTGATAATAGCAGGACTGTTGTAATAATCTGCGTTGTGCGTAGTATGGTGGGAAGAGAAATACTGAGGGAGGGAGGGGTGGTAGCATCATCTGCCGAATCTGTGTGGTCATCTGTTACTGTCTGCCCTCACCATACCAGCTTAGTGGATTGCTACAGTGAACACAAGTGTAGATACTTATATATAATGTGTATAGTGTAATAACATCACAAACAGTATAGTTGGAGGAGGAATGTTAGTGCATCTGGCCTTGAACCAGTGAAGGAGGGAGGGAACATCAGCTGATTGTGAGGTGACCTGTCATTGTCTAAACTTACCATACCAGCTTAGTTGTAATGTTATGGTGAACAAAACATGCAGATACTTATATATCACCTGTGTATATAGTGTAATAACTGCAAAACTATTTGTTTATTATTTTATGAACATAATAATTGAATTACAAAAATGCTCACAATACTTTTGAGTATAGCAATGGTTCACACATTTTATTATAAATATATCACACTACACACTATTGAATAATAATACTGAAAAAAAATTGATCAGAGACAATGAAATAATTCGGTAATAATATTATTGTGGCAACTCCCACCTGCCAACTAGTGTGGAGCAGACCGCCTTCAACACTTGCTCTGTCAACGCCACACTTTTGCCAAACTTCCTCGCCCTATTGCGGCCAAAATATGTCGCCTACTATTTTTTTTTTTCCGGTAATCAGGGAACACAAATGAACACTTTTATAAGACAAAAAAAAAAAATTGTCCACATCTATTGTGGACACTAATGTGTCCACAAAAAATGTTTATTGTCGCAATATTACTTGTTAAAAATTCACTAAAATTACAATATGTACAGTTTCACACATTATGTACACAGTAACACACTGTATTACACACTCAATACTTCAGAAGTGAGTAATAATCAACATAGTAGTCCATGGTTGTGCAAATTCGTTCTCGTTGAACCAGGTATAGATGGATTTTCGCTTCCTGTTTCTTCGTTCTGTGTGCTTGCAAATAACGCACTCACGTACATCCTTGGCTTCAGTACTTGTAGGTGTTATGTAGCCAAGCTTGTAAAGCATTAGGTAGTCTTCAAAAGAGTATAGGAAAAGATCAAATTGAAAAAGATCAATTTTTCTGTCTTGAAAAGATCAATTGTAAGGTCCCTGACTGGAAAAGATTCAGTCATTTTTGGAGAGAGTCAGTCAATCTGTAAGAGATTCAGCCATTCTGGAAGAGATTCAGCTATGCTTGAAAATATCTATGGAAAACACCACCTGCTAACACTGTTCATCTATGCTAATTATATCAGATGCATCATCACTGAACCCAGAAAACAATTCATCTATGTATTATCTATATAAATTGGAGATGGCAAGGGTGGTGTTCAGAGCTACAACTGGATACGCACTACAACTGGATATATTGCTGTATCGTCCTAATAAGTGCTGTATCACTTGCATCCGACTTTTGTCTTAGGTCCTTATTGCGCCTAGCTTCATCAATAACATGACCCTTATGTTCTTCAAGCAATAAGATCTGAATTTCACCGACGGAGAGCGATCTTTTTACACCACGTCGGACCGGTGTTTGGGAGCCAGAGGCACGTGCGCCACCCATGGTTGCTAACTCAGTACTAACCCCAGCCAGCAGCCCTAGGACATTCTGGGAATTTTTTCCAAGATGGTTGCCTCTCACTGGAGGTCCAAAGAGTCTATTTCGTACTCAACCTATCGCATGCGCGTTTCGACCGTGTTCGAAAAAATATAAAAATACTTTTGTCGGTAGGCGCAGTAATGGGCGAACGGCATTTATCGTTTGGCGCAGTTCAGTGGTTAACACTTTCGCTCACCCCGCGCGCCACCCCTCGACAGGGCGATATGGGCCCCAGCGTGTCACGGAAGCGCGCGTTAATTCCGAAAAGTGTATACTCTCTTCAACTTTGTCACCTCAATTCTCCTTCTACGAGATTAAATTTGGTATCATTGTGTTCGCAATAAAATTCTCTACAGCACTAAATGCATATAAACTCCAAAAGCCCGGCTAATTACCCGCAGCAAACAGAGAAAGTGCGAACGAGTTACCCGGGAGCGCGCAAACGGGATAAAATGTTTTCACTATTTTCACTCTGGTCACCTCAATTTTTGTCCTAGGTCTTTCATTTTGGTCTCAATGGGTTCGTAATAAAATTCTCTAGAGGAACATTAGCATATAAAAAAAAAACCTGGTCACGCTCCAACCGCCGACGAGTTGAAGACGGGCCACGCGTTAGCCGTGAGTGAGCACTCAGAGGCCTTCCTGCTACACTCCCAATTCCCGCCCTTTTCAAGTCTTTCTTTCGCAATTTTCTTCCTGGAAGGGCCTTGTTCATGATTACTATCCATCGTGGAGTAAGCGTAGATAGTTTCTAAAGCCGCAGTAAGAAATATAGCCACGGAAAATAGCCGAAATGTTCACACGTTTGAGATGCGAGGGGAGACGACATTGGTCACAACAGTGGAGCAAAGACAATGGGCCCACGGCGTGTGCCAAGCCGCCTGAGGGCCACGAGGCTCAACAAAGAAAATGGGAAGACATCGGCGCACATTTTAAAACCAGTCCCCCGAAAATCGGATAATAACCTGATTTTTGGCGAATTTTTAAAGTGGATGACGCAATGCTGCGTCATCCCCGGCATTACCACCAGTAAACGGATGACGCAATGCTGCGTCATCCCCGAGCGAAAGTGTTAAGCTGTCCTATTTCAGTAGCCTAGTTCATAATCAGGTCAGTTTTCAAACCCTGCAGTGCACACCTGTTTTTGGCAAAAACTTCATAGTGCAATTGTTAAGGTCATATTTTTGTTGTTTATATAAATGTTCAGGTAGAGTTAATGTCAAAATGTTTCCAAACTCAACCATTTTAATTTCAAAACACAGAGTTATGAGAACATCAAAACACATTAAAATATAGCCTAATTAAAAAAAGGAGCGTTGACTGTAATGAAATGCCAATTTCTGGGCGAGACCCGGAGACTCCCCGGAGCTATCTGGGCTAATATGGAGTATTACTTTGGGCATCAGTCAAGGTACATCAAGTTCTAGGCCTACCGGGGACCACCAGCCAGAACCTGGCCTCCTCAGAGAGGCGAGAAGAGCAATGGCCCTATACACACCTTGTATATAATTTTGAAGTACTACTGAAGTACTGTACTCTATGTCTGCCATCAACCCGGTCAGGCACCCAGAAAGATAGGTGCCCCAAAACATCCCCCATTCTGACACAATCGACTTGAGAATGGTCCGAAACGTCGTCGTCCCTTCATTTTCTAGTGTGTGGATTGATCAACATACTTCAGCCACGTTATTGTGACTCATCGCCTGCATCCCGCCTGACAGCTGGGTGGACAGCGCTTCGGATTCATAGTCCTGAGGTTCCGGGTTCGATTCCCGGTGGAGGTGGAGACAAATGGGTAAAATGTTTCTTTCACCCTAATGCCCCTGTTACCTAGCAGTAAATAGGTGGCTGGGAGTTAGACAGCTGCTACAGGCTGCTTCCTGGGGGTGTGTAACAAAAAGGAGGCCTGGTCGAGGACCGGGCCGTGGGGACGCTAAGCCCCCGAAATCATCTAAAGATAACCTCAAGAGATCCCCCATTCTGGTTAAGAATTGCTACCAAAGCCGAAGCAAGTGGCTAGAACTCCCCATGAAAAGCTCCCCTCTTCAGGGAAAGAGGGCAAGCCTCTGGGAAGATCTGGAAAGCCCCCGATCCTCCGCCGGCTACCCAAGCCTGCCAGTTCTTAGGCTGGATGTCTAAACATGCAAAAAGAAACTGCTGACCGGGAGGGAGGGAGGGAGGGAGGGATGCCAGGGGGGTTATCTTGAGATGATTTCAGGGCTTTAGTGTCCCCGCGGCCCGGTCTTCGACCAGACCTCCGCCCCCAGGAAGCAGCCCGTGACAGCTGTCTAACACCCAGGTACCTATTTTACTGCTAGGTAACAGGGGCATAGGGTGAAAGAAACTCTGCCCATTGTTTCTCGCCGACGCCCGGGATCGAACCCGAGACCACAGGATCACAAGTCCAGTGTGCTGTCCGCTCGGCCGACCGGTTCCCAGATCCTGGGAGCCCCAGGATCTCACCTAGAAAGCAGCATTTCATTACATTCAACGCTGGTTTTCTGGAGGGAGCCCCAGCGGCTCCCTGGAGCTACTTACCCAAATAGAAAAAAGGGAATTACCTGGGTGGCGGTTGTTCCTCACATCTCAACACAAAGTCGAGACAACCGGCTGCACTTGCCGACCCAATGCAACACAGGCCCGACCAGACCCAGGGACATTGACCAGGTAGTGAGTGGCTAGGAACCTGTTCGACCTCCAAAAGCCCTGTGCCCGAATGTCAACCCAAGACATGTTACCAAAAACGGCAGCAAGCAGCAAACTTACGAACATCATGGGCGCACGGATAAACTGAAGGCTGGCTGGAATGAATAACCCTGGAGACCCGAACCCGGGAACAGGGAAGAAGGGAAACGGGGTAAACCCAAAGCACGTCCCCGGTCACTCAGGCCGTGGCGCGCAAATAGCAGAGTAAAGCAGCAACTGAACACAACAAATGATGCACCCCCGGCCTCACCAACCAAGCATCAACAACCCACTCCAGAAAGCAGCAGTTTCTTCATTCTTCGCCAGAAAAGGAGACGACTGCAGCCGAACAAAATGATCACCTAATGCAAATGAGCAGAACCCCTGTGCCGGCGGAGAGCATGAAGCTCCCCGACCCGACCCCCAGAGACCAATGCCAACAGGATAAAGAGCCTTCAACAAGCAATCTGGAACCGAAGGGGCCACCACAAACCGAGGGGAAGAGAGAAAGGAGAGCACCCAATCCAAAGACCAGGACAGTTCAGGCAGCGCATGAGTAGGCCGGAGGTGAAACAAGGCTCGAGACAGCTTACGGAATGGCACCAAAGTAACATCAACGCCGAACGCCAGCTGCGGCGGAGAAAGAAAGGACAAGACAATCCAATCAGAAATAGAAGTACACGACGAAGGGTCAGAAAGAACTTGAAGTACCGATAAGAAACTTCATACTTCCACCAAGACAAAGCCCGTAGGTGGGACACCATCAAAGAAGCCACCTGATCACCATACAAGTGGTGATAGACTTGAGTCAGAAAGACCAGACGCGAAGACTCGAGGAGAAGATCGAACCAGCCTCATAACAGACCGGACCGATCTGCTGAAAGAGGCAGAGCCGCGGGAAACTCTCCGGGTTAAGACACCGGGCAAGCAATGACTGAAGCGAAGGCTGGGCCAGCCACCAACGAGCCAGAAGGACTACTCTCCCCTGGTAAGTCTCCAAGCGAGCTAGGACCAGGAGCAACAGCAGAACCTGAGGAAAGAATTACAGGCCGCCACCTCGGCCAGTCCTACCAGAAGGCGCCTTGACCAAGCCAACGCAAAGAGGTCCACCTCCAGAAACCCGAATATCAGGCAGAGCCAATGGAACGAGTCGGTGTCAACCGTCCATTCCGTGGACAGGGGAATGAACCAAGACAGGCCGTCTACCAGGATGTTGGACACTCCCCGAACGTGAACAGCCATGACAACCAAACCCCGAGAACTCAGCAGACGAGTCACCCGAAGCCACCAGCCCCAAAGAGCCAAGGACAACAGAGAAACCCCTCGGTTCAGGCAATGAACCACCTGGGAGCAGTCCAAATGGAGCCGGATCGTCGATCCACGAGCGACCTGAACCCTCTAGAATGACAATCACACTACCGCGAACTCCCGCACCGTGCTGTGGACCTGACGGAAGAACGAACCCCACCGCCCCTGGCCGAACTGGTAAGCACTGGTCACAAAATCCCAGCCAAGAGACAACACGTCTGTGAACACATCGAGCCAGAGCTCAGGGAGGCGCCAGGGTACTAAACCCTGAAAAACCCTAAGAGGAAGTCAGCGACACAGCAACTGGCGCAAGGCCCCCGGAGGCCGGACCCAGCGATCGCAAGAGAGGCAGATGGGATGGCCCCAAAGGAACCAGAACAGCCGACAAAACCACACCCATCCCAGCAGGTAGACCAGCACGGCAAAGTTTAGG